GCTGGGTAAGCCTTCACAGGAAGGGATAAATCCACTGTTGCACAGCCTATTTGATAAGTACAAACTAAAAGATTTCTGACAGTCTCTCGTTGGCTTTTCTTTGAAGAATTTTGTTTGGTCTCAAGATGTTCTTAAATCATTCCCCTACTCTTTCCTGTTAAATAACATTGGGTTTGAAATGGGAGCTGGGCCAATTGAAATTTATAGGAGGATTCCAGGGCTCAGCAGTGAAACGAGTGTTTTAAAGCTTCCCACTTTAACTACTGAGAATAGATAATTTATGTGATGAACATAGCCACTATTCTTTGCTCACGAATTATCATCAGACTGAATCTGATTTTACTAAGGTCTTTGTTGTTTGAAATTATTTGAGAAAACATTTGTGCAAACTGCAAACATATCGATTGGCCTATGAATTGAGCTCTCACGGTCTATCATGGGTGAAATTCATCCCTTTGCAATGGGCCAGCACAAGGTCTATACAACACTTAACTCCCTCATAAGGTATTTTGAGGACTTAAGTGGGACTTATTATTATTAAATATTTATACAATGGCATCCGCAAAAGGCCGCATTGAGCAGAGCACTGTACAAACACAGAAAAAAGAAAATCCCTGCTTCGAAGTGTTTACAATCTAAAGACTCAGAGAGATGAAAGGTTGAGGATGAGGACACAATTGACAAGCAAATGAACCTGATGAAAAATTGGCCCAGCTCTGTAAGTTACATGTTTATTTTTTTAATTCAGGAGCAAGGAGGTGGGAAAAGGAAAGATGTGGAAGAGGAACAGTCTTAAAGACGTACGTGGTGTTTAGACCTTGTGCTAGCCTTCTGCACAGGGATGATTTTCACTCATAACTATTAGTTTTACTACAGATGATTGGAAACTAGAAAACATTTGTCATTACTTTTTTTTGGGGGGGTGTCTATTTTTTCATCAAAATTTCATTTTGATAGAAATATTGATTTGCTCTAGGCTGGGCTCTTCATTATTTGCACTGTGAGATTAGTCACCTAAATCACGTGGAATTTTTTCTCCTTGAGTGGATGATAACCAATCCCTCCAAGAACTTTCAAGATAAGCACAAGAACACTTCTGTCAGGAATATATATTTATGATGCTTTCTCTTCCTGCTGACATTCTTGAAAACAAAATTTCTCTGACTCTTGTAGAAAATGAATAAAAGGGACTGTGAAAACTACTGAAGCAAATTTAGTTTATATACAAAAAAAATTGCAATTACTGGTACTGCCTTTGTCCTACTCCAGCAGATTCAAATGTTATGCTTTACACAGAGTTAATCATTGATTTTGAGCAGGATATCATCACTGTGGAAATCTACTGCTATTACACAAATGTTCAGAAATATTTTAGGGCTCCATCCTTCTCCCACTTAGCTCAGTGGAAATAGAATCTGGGCCGTACTGCGCATCTCTTCTGCCATTATACCATCCTTCACCTATTTACTGAGGGTGAAGATCCTCTAAAGCATGAGGTAAAGACCACCTCTTTCCTATTGACACTATTTTATTTTAATTGCATGGCTGAAAAGGGTAATATCAAATATTTTTAATCATCTACATTTTTTAACTTCCCATAATTTATCATTTCTTTCACAATCTTGAAAATAATTTTTTTCAGCTCATTTTGTTATTTTCCATGTAGCAGGCATGGATTTTTCCCCTCTTTTGAATAAAACTAATTAATTAAGAACAGAAGTTTAATGCATATAATTTATCATGTTAAAACATTTTCTTTGAGCACTAACATAATTGATGATGCCAATGCAGTCCTGGAACTAGTGCTAATTGAAAGAGAAATCACAAAATTCATTCTTGTAAGTCTCACGATCAGATCATGTCACACAAAACACTAAGGTGCTGTTGCTCAGCTTTGAGACCCTTAAGCCTGGAGGTCATAATCAAATGCTTCCATACTATAATGAATCTTAATAATCAAGATCAAGAACAGTAATACAGATAAATATTTAGTCTGCCTAAGGAATAAGCATAACTCTGCATCTCTTGGTATTCAGCGCTCCCTTGAACTGATTCAAACCCAAACTTTTTCTGAGGCTTGTGAATGTTTGTCTTAGAGCCACATTTCCACTTCTTACCTATAGTGACAGGTCCTGCAGGCTGCAACTCCCTTTCCAGCATCATATTCTTCTTTTCAAGGGTGATCAGGTACTCCACCCCACCCCACCCCCACTGTCAGGTGTCTTCAGAGCAGACATGGAAGCCAACTTCCCTAAGCTACTCCAGACACTGTGTATGAACAGCCATCTCTGGGGCCCAATGACCCCTCTACTGTTTCCTGCTGATCAGTCACTTTAAAATTCAGGATAGGCTTTAAGCCCCAGAATGTACCATTACATTCGCAAAGGTACTAATTTCAGCACCCTAAACCCCAGTGATAATGGAAGAAACTTAAAAACATCAGTGCAATATCTAGCAGCAGTCAGAAAAGCAAAAGGGACACTAGATTGTAGAAAGAGTCCAAATCAAAATAGATCATTGTGGCACTGTACAAAATTTGGACTGGCACCATATTAAAGTGTACATTTTTAGGAACCATATTAAAGGGGCAATATAAAGTCATAAGAAACAAACAATTCAGATAATTTTAAAAGGCACAGAAGAGGCCTAAGGAAATAAAGTCCCATACATTAGAACTATAGGGAAACTAGGTTATATTAATTAGGAAAGTGGAGATTAAAGGCAGGGCCGGCTCTACCATTTGTGCCTCCCCAAGCGCAACAACAACAAAAAAAAAGCCACCCAAAGAATGGACAGAATGCCGCCCCTTAGCATGTACCGCCCCAGGCACATGCTTCCTCCGCTGGCCCTGATTAAAGAGAGACCTTACTCAAGTGCAATTTTTTTGAGGGATTTAGAGAAGTCAGATGCCACAAAATTATTCAAGAGTATAATTGATGCCGTTCCACTTTGTGCACTAATTTTAGCCTAAGACCAGATACAACACTAAGGGAATTCACAAGGACTGCTAAAGAATCCAACCCACTGTAAAGAACTGCGTTTCCCTGGTGCCATTGTAGCATTACCTAACTGTGCTTTTTCTAAGAACATAATTCCCACTGCTACTAGGTCTGGTGTAAGTGTCAAGCCAGTTACACATGTTTATAACGGGGACAGGGTACACCACTATATCACCATGATACCAAATGCTCATCATATTTGGAGCATTCAGCACTGGAATTATGTTGCGTACTCATGAACAGCTAGACATCAATTGTTATGATATTTACCATGAAGACAGTCACTTCCAATAAGAAACCCCTGTTTAGGGTGAAATTCATCCCTGTGCACCACTTAAACCCCACTTAAATTTTTACTGTGGGTCTGAAGTTTTGTATAGGGCCTTGTGTGAACCCTCAGCACAGCAGTGAATTTCACCCTAAAGGAATATCAATGGAGTACTGAACTTAAGAAAAGAATCATAAAGCACCATAAAATAAATACCAGTTTGATAACTGGATATGTAACTGAATATATTTGATGTACATCAAAGCAAAACTGTTTCAAGTACAGAACACTATAAGCAATCCTCTTTTTGAGACAGCAACCTGCTAAATGAATGAATGTATTCGAGAGACAAGGGTGTGTATTTAGCGGGATTCTACTATAGCACAAATGTGTGTGGGGAAGAATGGAGGGGGCAGAGACTAGGTTAAAAAAATGAAATATTTTCACCAAAACTTTTAGTTTGGTTGAAAACTCATTTTTTGTTGAAAAAATATTTAGGATGAACATTTTTGACCAGCTTTATTAGGAAGGGATTGGACTCAACCAAGGATATTAGTCAGTGCACATTACTAAGTTGCACGATTGTCATATAAGTTAACTTCATGTTTGCAGACATGTATAGCTGAGGATACTTACCTTTCCCTTCTTCACTACTACTTCCTTAAGATCTGAAAGACTTTAGTATATTCAATAAATCCTTGAAAGTACTAACTTCAAGCTCCTTTTCCGCATCTCAATTTTAGAGAAATTTCTGCCCTTACTCATTGTGTGAATCCCTTTGCTCTGCAGATGTATTAATAGTGGATCACAAACAGGGGCCTAATTTTACAGAGCCTGATTCTCTTGTTTCAGTAGTGTAAAGCAGGAGTAATTCCCCTTAAGGGGAGATACGCATACTGACATAAAACTGGTGTAAGTCATAGGAAAATCAGGATTACATTATCTATACTTAGGTCCACACATACTATATAAGATATTGTGATGAAAGTTCTGTAACAAAATGATCTGATGCTAACCCCTGCACCTGTAGGATTGTTGCCTACATAATTTCCACTGGTATTTTATATAACTTGCTCTTGAGAATCTCCAGAAATGGAGGCAAACCAAAGTTTTAACTCAGGGTATGTCTACACTACGAAATTAGTTCGAATTTATAGAAGCCGGTTTTATTGAAATCGGTTGTATACAGCCGATTGTGTATGTCCACACATAAAATGCTCTAGGTGCTCTAGTCGGCAGACCGCGTCCACAGTACGAGGCTAGCGTCGACTTCCGGAGCATTGCACTATGGG